TGAGACCAATCAGAGAACCTATGGTACAGCACACATTATCTGCAGTTTCTGGGATGTGTACCCAAACACAATTCTGTCTTACTGTTGTGACACATGGACAACAAGGTTTCAGTTCATGTGCTACAACCACCATCGGTGCATGCACCAATACTCAGGAATTTGCCGCAAAAGCAGTGGTGTATGACCCACAAACTGATATGTAAATCAGATGAACTGAAGTGCACCAGAATCCATTATGTAAATTACGCATGTCATATAAATATTCGAACAGTGTATACAATAAGCATGTATGCTACGCCCCAAAGTACATGCATAACTTTATATATTTTAAAGTTCATAAAAAGTTACATATGCATCTCTCAAGGCTCAGTCAAGAAATTTAATTTTATAAAAAAGTCAAAACAGTTTTATAAATGTGCATTTAAAGGACATAAGTCGCTATATAGCATGTAATCACTTTCTAAGGAACCCCCTGCTTTGAAGTCTAGTATATGTTAGTGTCTTAATATTCACGCACACAAACAGATAAAACAAATCATCCTTTACTTATTTAGCATTGGCAAAAATTTATAGGATTACTTACTGGCATGATTGTATGTATTAACAGAGCTCAGGCAAAACGTCAGAGTGCCGTGCAACTAAATATCAAGCATCTCAGACTATATTTCTAGAGAGCTAATATTTAGTAACGCATAGGCAGCCGCCATTGTACTCGATATTCCCGCTTAAATTAATTCTGGTATGATTGTGTCGTTCAATTGGAGATTTCAATGTAAGCCACGACTTAATCCTAAGCATAACCTTTAACAGCACATTCAAACATGGGCCAGATGATTTGTTTTAGTTCATGTTTGACTATCTTCAAGCAAAAAGTTAGAAAACAGTCACTATTGGTTCACTCAAGCACAGCCCCTCAGCAACTTGTTGTGACTGTGACTTAAGTTCAGGTGAGCCAAATGGTTGCGGATTATTTTTTTAGTACATGTGCAGATAGGTAGAGCTGACTAGCTGTATTTCTTTTCCATAAGGATAATCAATTGCCAGAAAACACTGCTACAAGATAAAAAGTTGCGTCACATTCTTGGCTGCACAGTTGCTAACAACACTGCAAGATAATGTTCAGTAATGCCGTGCTATGGCTCAGACACATACAACAACTCCTGTTGGTATACATGTCCTTCGAGGATAAATTCCCATTACGGGTTGATCAATGTTTGAAACTGAGTCCTGGTCTATTTATATCTACTGAACATCAATGGGCATGCCGGACATGGGACACAATGTCAATAAGTTGGGACATATACCTACGCCCAGTTTTCACTTATAGCAGCGATACTCACTGTCAATACAATGATGACACTGATATCATGGTGGGATGTAACTCTTGCTGTCCTGTTACAATGTAATTGAACATCTACACATACTACCCATGACCGAAGGTGGTAAAAATTCCTCACATGGATGTATATATAATGCCAGAGATATTCCATTTCCATGCCATCGGACTATTTGTATTTTCAGATCGGCACTTTTTGCTAAGTTCGTGATGTTATTTGTGGTGCCAAGGTGACTACTGGTGCATTACTAGAGTTTGCTATGATTATATTGTTAGTAGAAAAAGATAACTAAATATTATTGTCGTTGCTAAGGTGACCTCTGGTGCATTACTAGAGGTAATTATGGTTTAGCTGCAGTTCTGTAGCTCTGGATTTCGCTGGTGTCTGTTTTTGGCGTTTTCTGTTGCATCGGTAATCTGATTCGTTCGTCTATTGGTAATTGCGAAACCCTAGCTAATTATGATTAGATTGGTATTAGAAAATGGTACGATGTTATTTGTGTGCAATGGTGATTACTTTGCATTATTAGAGGTGACTATGTTTTCGGAAACTATGGCAGTCATTATCATCGCGATCGCATTTCTCGTGATTGTTCACCTCATACCAGGAATTTAGTTCCCATGTTTTGAAAAACGTTTCAGTTAGCCTGTATGTTTCGATCATTGATATCCGTCTCGAGTATAAATCAGCAAATCACTACGACCAAACCATACGCGATCACTTAAGGGAAGATCACTATTATCAAAGATTTATAAATCATTGGTATTACAATGTATTTATAACTGTCTTCTTTTCATCTCTGGTTGTATTTCAAGACTAAATTGAAAATCTGACAATGTTTTTCCCCACTTTAACAATAGATAGTAGTATCAATGTTTAAATTCTAGGCAACCATGAGTCTGGTTAACCGTGAACCACTTAAGGTAGAAGCCGAGTCATATTTTTTGACAAAATTGGTCATAAATCACATAACAATGTTAATTAGTTTATTATGTACAATCATGAAGCTAATGTCGCATGGTACAATAAAATAACATTATTTTATGTGTTACAGTTAAGCTTTATGAGAAATGTGTTTCTAATATTTCTTGAAAATTGCTGTTATAAAAAAAATTACATAGAACACAATGTTAAAGAAAAATTGCATTTTTGGACACTTAACCAAGGTTTTTCAAATAATTCAGAACAACAAAAAGTACTCCATCATTAACAATATATGATTTTTTCAACCTATGTCACCAGGCTAGATTTTGAGATAGTGCATAATATCTCTGCCATAGGAACCTGTGGTAAAAGTGTTATAATAGTGTCAAAATGGCGAATTTTCGCTAAAATACAACCACCAATCTCTCGAAAAAAAGGCTGGTGATCCCCATTTTTTTTTAGGTCAATATTTTTATATTGCCTTGGAGTACAGTTTATTGCAAAATGAATAAATTCTGTGTATTTTAATTTATGAGTATGCTTCTACCTCAAACACGCATAATTGGGAGTAAACATGTCAGGTGGGCAGGTTACGTGATTTTAACATTTACAAGAGCGGATTACATATATTGCCCATAATGCAATCATGTGATAACCTTTCCAAAACGGGGGCTATTTTGAACTCAGTAATATGAATTATAACTAAGGATGATGTCACAATACTATTTCTGGATTGGTCTATTTAAATTGTAACATTTATTTTGATTTAAAAAAACGTTAATAAAATTCTTATAATGACCACAGCTTCCTGTTTGCCACTATATATCAGTAGCCTTTGTTCTAAAATGTTCTTAATTTTCACACATTTCACAGATAATAGTACGTAAATTCTCTGAATGGAGCTAATCTCGTTTTAGCTCTATGTTGGAATCAGTCAACATACTTGTTTTTGACACACATTGCGAATATGTCTACTTTGAAATAATATGCATAAAGGTCTCCTTGAAAGATACCTTTAATACAGCGAGTGTTTTCAATAAAATAAATATTACGTGAATGAATACTAGTAAATGGCGAAAGTCGGATTACCACGAAAGCCAACAATCTTGTTCACATATATTTTTGCGCCCCTTCACGTAAGAGAAAAACAGACGTTTATGAAGGGGTATCAGCACCGATGTAACTACATGTATAACGTAATAGTCACGTCGGTTTAAACACAGATGGGAACACGTCACTGCGGTGCAAAATCTCGTGTGTTTTTTTCATAAAAAAAGATATATTTCGTTGTGATCGATAAATGTTTACGTTCACTACTTGGGAGATAGAACTCAGGAAAAGAGCCTTTTTTCCTCTGCTTGAAATGTGGGTTTGGGGTTGGTTATGGTGAGCCGCACTTAAATCAAAACTATTCCGGTTTGATACTTGTAATGCATCCGGGTAAAGCACATACTCCAGGCTGAACATATCTTTTCCTAAATCTACATTGTATCGATATTGAACACTTTGATACGTTCCCGTTTCCTACACAGCTATACAATCGTATCGCGCCTGTAACAATACAGGAATTATGTTATACTTTACAATTTGCAATATATAAATATTACTATATTTTAAACTAATTAAACTTGAAATATGCCAAATGCCAGCGATACACATTACATTTAACAGTGTTTTCTAGCAACATAGAATTATTATGACCATGAATATTTCACTTCACCGGCAGAAAATGCAATAATAATCAAAATAGTACAATTTAACCCAAAATTACTTTTATATAATATTAATTTCTTAATATACTTTAGGGTATTTGGCCAAAATATAACGAGCCGCAAAAGTTATCTTAAACTGATTTCATAAATTCGGTCTTCGTACACAAAAACTAAAACAGAAATTTATAGTAAAATTCAAAAATTAAAACACTGCTAACGAAGGTTAAACATTGTTCTTTTGTCTGTAATTCTTTTGTTGATAAGCATATAGTGATTAATTATATTGTCGCCATTTTCCACGGATTGTGTGTGTGTGCTCGTTGTTGTTTGATTTCTCTTTGTTTTTTTTTCATCAAAGTGGAAGTTACGTACAAAAGTTACTGTACTATGTATGTGCAAGTGTCGTGAGTCTCAGAAAGTTGTAAGTAATGTGGAAGTGGCAAAAGATGTTGTTGGTTTTCAGCGAAGTGCGGTGAATGCTATCGTTCGTAAGGCCATGCACCGTCACCTCCCTCGTTACCAACAGTAGATAGAAGTTGACTTTTTTAAAATAGGAAGGGGCATTACTGTTATAAGTTTTGAGGGTGAACCTCAAAACAATTCAGGGATAGTGCAAATGAGAAGTGGGAGGGGTTTAAAAAGCAACATTTCTGAAACTTGTCACATCAAATTTAATACCCCTCATTAAAAACTTTATGGGAATGACTGCCAATCAACGTGTTTATGTAAATTATCTTAGTTTTGGACCAATCACAGATGTTCAATTTCTTGCTAGCTAGGCCCTGATTGGATAATATTATTTTTGGTGGTTTTGGTGGGATAAGTAATGTTGCTTCCCTATTTTTTTTGTCTTGAAATAAAGATTTTTCATCTAGTTCAAATATATTGCACAAGCACGTGTTGACTGTCAACCAATAAAGTGCAATACTCGAGCTCCGATATTCGCGTCATGCGCAGAAAGCATGCGCAAAAGTGATTATTTAGCATTTGGTTAATTTGTCGACCATTTTGTTGGATGCCCCCAATTTTGCCGCTTTTATCAAGAGATTGTGCGCTTAGTGGGATTCCCTCGCCCAAAATGGCGTTGTGGTCCAACCTTATCTCGATGCAGATTCCCGAGAACGTCAATGAGCCTCCTCCAACCATGGTATTGTGCTCCAAAGAAACATTGAAAGATTTAGAGAGACTGAAAAACGACAAGGATAAGCAGACGAAGAGTGGCACAACAAAGCCAGACGATGTCGACAATGAAGACAATCCCGAATGTGACGAGGTTGTTAGATTAGAAGATGACACTGACAAAGAAGTTGACTGTCTTATAAGAGACTTGCTTTCTGAATGTGATAAACAACTCGAAAATGTCGAAGTTACAACTGAAGGCGTTCTTACCAAGGTATGCGTTATTGTCATATGGAGCCATATTCCAGCATGGACTCCACTCGACTCCATAATAGGTCAACCTTTTAATTTCCGGAAAGAAGTTTATGTATGTTTATGCCACGTTGGTGAATGATCTATTGTCCAGTCGTATTACTATTATAACTTATTCGACGAACTAATATTTTATAAAATTTAACTTCAAGCAATTACGGATTAATTAATATAGTGTATTAATTATTATAAATCTTGTATTAAATGGTGAATTACATACAAGAATAAATTAAAGAATACATGTCAACTAAAAAATAAATCTTAATCAACATGTTAGTTTTTATGATTTGAAAGATCGGCAACTGATTCACACATTCAAGTAAAAAATTATTGCCTCTTTTATTATGCACTGTTTTGCATAATTCATGTGTGAAAATAATTTCTTATATAAATTGAGTATACTACGCAACAATATAGTTTTGAAGTAGTCGAAGATGCATTTCTAGCACTAAAGTTACAAGTTGGTCTATTTGTACATGTATGTGATGCATCTGTGAATTCATAAATCATGGAGGTAAAATTAACTTCTATTATTATACATCTGTCACGATAACGCCATCAGTTACAGTGTGCCGTAATTTTGCGGTATTTCAGTGGGTATTTTCATCCTACCATATCAGGAAAGACTTTTCAAATATGGAATGATTACGTGTGGAAGCATCCTCTAATAATAAAAACACAATGAGGTTCGCTGATTCTGTTCTAAACTTTTTGGATTTTTGCATTCTCATGATGCATCCTCGGAAGGAAAAGATTTATAATAATAAGGTTATTACGACAGTGTTCTCCACAAGGGGTTTTAGGCGGGCGGCCCGCCCATCAAGTTTTACGGCCGCCCAGTAACTCTCAACACCCGCCCACCAACATACATCCAGCTGAACTTATTTGTAAAAAGCTTGCATTGTTCTTCCCAAGCCTAAACAAAAGAGTAGTTACCCAACCCTTTATTTTGCTATTGTTTCAAGAGTCCAAACATAAACAATGACCACTGGAAGTCTGCAAGCAGTTATCGAGTGTATTCATGGCAATGTGTCAATTGCCTGAATTCATTGTCGCCCGACATTGTTGCCACTTATTGCTCACGATGCGCAACTACAGTGGTTTCAATTTACAGCTGTATTTTTAATAATCGCCTTCCGATCACGAAAGAAAGAAGTAAATACGAACGAAATGTTCATGCACGGAAAATAAACAAATATATTAGCAGATTGCATGTAAACTTGAACAAAAATTAAAATTCTAGCTGTATTTACAACGTTCGCTCGATTTTCATCCTGAAAACAGCATGGAGAAGGCAAACTGGTGACCTTTTGGCCTACCCCATTCAACGACCATCGGGCACCCACCTCTGTTGGCGCTGTAACGATTAAGTATCTAAGTTGCATAGGGGAACAGCGCATTCTGGGTGTTCGTGTACTGAATTCGGAAAGCGGTAAT